CTCTTTCTAAATTTATTCCACTGAATTATGCTTCTCGAATAATTTCTTCGATCCCTGATTTTATTTCTCTATTACCGCTAATACTTCTACTATCTTTACCACTATTGGATTTGAACTGACAATTGCGTCTATGAACTTATGTGCAATGGCAACCTGAACTTTCGTACATACGTACAAAAATCTACGTTGTAAATAATTGACTGAAAATAGGAAGGAATAAAGGAATAAACAATGTAACGCAATAGAAAGTGAAAGCGAATATTAATAAACAGTTTTGAGCATGATTTGTGAGAATGATAACCAAAGCGTCAATAGTTTTTCCATGTATTGTCATGAGTTATTTTGCGTGGGCTATGTTATTACTAGGGTTCCAATACCGATAGCGGTGGTTTTCCTCCTCTGTTACTAAATGCACAGGTCATAAGATTGCTCTTAACTCAGCCTTTCGGCTTTTGTAAAAAAGTTGTTCAAGTTTTATTAACGATTTAACCATACGAAAATATAAACATCCTTTTTGTATTTAAAACATTTTATTCTTACCCTAAAAACAACCTTGACAATATTGATTTATTATCTAGCATAGTGAGTTTCACATTGTTTTTCACATTATTTTTTCTTCATTATCTTTGTTTCTTCTTACTGTCTATTTGTCTCGTTGACCGTTTTATATTTTAGATATAAATATTTTTAGCAAATATACATTTGACCACATTGTGCTTGAAATGTATAACATAAATATATCACACATAGTTCTGATCATTTTCATCTTCTTACCACGCAGTCCAAATATATTAAATGGATTGACCATTATTAATGCGTTAGTCAACATTTTTTGGAAAAAAAATAAGTGAACCATGATTTAGTTTCATGAGAGATTATGAGTGGACCTAAATGATCAGAAGTATTTTAGGCCTTGGATTAATTAACATTCAGTCAGTCATTTAAAGCAAGTTGTAGCTATACACCGCGAAGTAACCAAATTAATTCCCTTGACAGCCAGAAGTCAGAAGACCAGTTGTGATTGGAGGTAGTATATTTGTTGGTGATCTTGTGATATCGAAAAAATATCAAGATCACAACAAACATTGTGGGCGAGACCACCGAGGCAACATGAGCAATGTCACTGTTACGTGAAACGGAGGAGAATGGTTTTTGGTACAGATAAACAAAGGAGTAGAGTAAAACAATCACTGGTACAATCGGTTACAATAATAAATGTTTCCATTTCACCAATCGCATTCTCTTCATAAAAGTTTTCCACTACACATTGTCAACATAAGCATTATTGTACATCGGTCCAAGTTACTCCACTGTACGTAAGTACATCAGGAAGAAATTAACAATATAAGATAATCTCGAAATCAATAAAAATCTCAACATTATTGATACAGTTCACCAAGGTAAAATAAAAAACATGGAAAAATATAAATAGGGAAATGATTTTTCAATTACGTGATTTAAAGTAAGATCGACAATGAATGTGATACCACGATTTCGATCGATTTGTTCCCTGTCAGGAATTCTACTGATTTACAGGCAGATTTAGATGTGAATAATTATAGGCTATCAATCCATGGATAAGTAGATGATTATGTTTAAAACACTTACAGAGTCAACTGAAATTGTTCACAGACAATAATAATAATAATAATAATAATAATAATAATAATAATAATAATATAAGAAATACAAAAAGCAACAAATGATTCAATATCATATATGAATGATTGTTAGTCAAAATGTATCAGTTCAAATCCACTACAAGCAAGTAACAATTGTATTGATATTATTATACAGTAAACTGATATATAGAAAGGTTATCGATTGGATAAACTTAGCATAATTCCAATAACTTAATTAAGTGATCGAAAAGATGTTTTACTCAGGTCGTCATATTTTAATCAATATTATGTTTTTTAATCTGAGTGATTCTACAGGCAGTAAATACTGATGACTTAGGCCAGAATGACAGTGGAAGCCTAACAATTAAATAATTAATCTGTCGAGAACATAATACAAATAGCAACAAAAAAGATAATCTGTTCAGTGTAAATATTTATTCTTTGAAAGATAAAAACCTAGACATGCATTTGGGAAATCTATTAGTTTGATTTAACTTTAAAGGTGGATTTATACTGAAATATTTTAACAATACTTTAATTAACCGAAATACCATTGCTCGTTCACCGTTTGTCAAAACACTGATGTATAAGGAGAGTGTATTCAGCTCGAAAGTGCAAACAATTTTAACTTCTGTAAATAGTGTTACACATGCACGTAAACACTTCAATTTGATATGCTTGAACTATTACGAGTTTACATTAGTCGGAAAACGAGAGAGAGGTTCGAGGATCCAGTGGCGCTACAGGTTATTCTAATTCGATTGTCCCAAGAAGACTTGATATGAAGTAGAATCTGTATTCTACAAACATCCGGAAAGTATGAGGCCCGGGTCCAGAAGACTATGAGGATACCGCACTAAGGATCCGAGTCCGGGTCATAATACGTTACAGATAGTACGTATTGATATAGTTAGGTCGATTAGGAAATAACATTTGAAGTGACGTTGACAGCTAAGACAACCATAATATTGACTGGTAGGAACTGACCAATAGAATCGGACTTACAAAAATAATTCTCTCAGGATATTCGATGAAGATCCTAACAAAAAGGTAACTAGTATTCATTAATAATAATGTTAGGTAATTTAGAATTCATAAAATATGGCTGTTTCATTGGTTGTAGTTAATAAAATGATTGACTTAAAAAGTACTTTTTTGGACTGTGGACGATCTTTCATGTTGTAATTTTAGTGTTACGTTTCTATCGATGAATCTAGGTGGACAGACATTTCTGGAACAGGTTAAATTGACCTCAAAAGCAAACATATTTTAATCGCATCTTAGAACAGTAATTTTATTATGAGTAAGGCATATTGCAACTGAAGTACCCCTTCTTCTACTTTACAAAAACCGTTACCTCTAGATTTACCTAAACTTTCCTCAAAACTTCACAATCAATTTATTAATAGACTGAATATATATGCTTATTGATAATTTTATTTTTCATTCTTCATAATTATTTAATCAGTGAACATTTATCTTCAAACAGTCTTAACTTTAAAAACTTTATTTTTTTTTATTCATCTACTAATATTTACTTATCAAATTGTTTCTAAATACATCGAATATTGTTCACCAACTGCATATTATTATTATGTTGATTAGCAGTTATGTTGTTTCATTCTTCTACTTTGTATGATTGATTATCAGTATGGGCTTGTAAAGTTTGTTGAATTTCATTAACATCATGAACCAATCTAAGTTACTCTCATGTTTTCAATGGTGGATCAGTTTTTATGTTTATTGTTTATTGTGCAAATCTATATACACTACTTCGATCAGTATTATCTTGCGCTACCGATGATTTTACTGTCCTATTGTGAACCTCTATCTCAGCTTCATTAACTAAAGTACGTTGAACCATATATTCTACGTATGAAATAAATGGCTTTTGAACTAAATCTTGTTAGTAGGTGCAGGTTACTTAGTTAAATTTCGTGTTGAATATATCGGGTAATGTGGCTTGGAATCGGTCGCAGTGATGTAGAAAAGTTCATTGTCTACTTTCTAGATTTGGTGTTTCGATTCGCATGGTCTTTCTATTTATTCCACCTTTTTGAACCATGGTTTTTTTGTTATGATTGATACTGCTATTGATTCAACTTCTTTACTATTCGTCTTGTTAATTTCATCTCGTTTTACCGATATGGTAAAGACAACTCAGCTAACCTCCATTTGTACCAGGCCCTTTGTCGGTGATGGCTTATTGATTTAAAGACTCATCTGAAAAACACTCCATTCCCCTAGCTAACATATTCATATGATCTAGTTATGGTGTACTGAAACTTTATTAATTGTTCTTGAGATACACTACAAGGTAGGAAAAGTCACACTAGTGTTGTCATATATTCTGATTCATTATTTTTTGTAGCTTTCTACGTGACTAATTAAAGGTGGTTTTAACTTAATTATTATAATACACGGTTGAACTCGAGAATTCCGGAATGACCTTGACACTTTTATGGTCTGATGAACCAATGAGTATACAGATTGATTAAGAATATGATATTCAACAAAGCTTCATTAATTTTAAGATCAATGATCCACATGGATAACTAATTTTAATCGTTACATCTTTTAGAATTATAGTAGTATATCAATTTAGGATTATTGATAGAACAAGAATGTTGTTGCTAAAACAACCAATGTGCAATGTTTGCTTGAAATGGTATTAAGAATAACCAGGATAAATAGTGAGATAAATAATAATGAAATTAAAAATTAGTTCAATTATTCGATCAATGAATACATGATGTTCATTTCACTTGAATTGAGTAAAAAATAGTAAAATGAAGTAAGTGAAAAATAATATTTTCCATTTTTCATGTAGAGATTTATTTGGTTTGTATAGGATGATTGTCAGTGATTTAGTTTAAATGAAGTAATTCATATTTTAGTTTCAGTGTCACAAATAGAAGTGCTATTATAACTCTTTTGCTTTGAACATTCTCTGAACAGTTTTAAGTTGATATTTTACTACCTGCGTCAGGTTTAAATTGTAGGTGTGTAAACTTCGATGTTTTTTATTAATACTTTGGACGTTATTTATCCTGACTCATAGTAATGTATTTCTTCAGACAGCATCCGCAAACGTATTCGGTTCTTCTATAGTCGTTTCAACTGAGTGTATGACTAAGAGTTTTTATCGATTTCTTTTTGTTCTGTAAAGCTATGAAACCAGTTGAAGTACTCCTCTTTTTAAATTTTCAGGGACTTTACATTAGTGAAAATTTGGAAACCAGTTAAAAAGTAGGCTTTTTAAATGCTATCAGTGTGTTAGGCTTGATCATAAATGTTATAATTACCAACTACATTGTGTACTCTCATTTCGATTCATAAAAACACATACTGTATGTGAGATTTATTGATTTATTTTAGCCTGGAATTTTAGAACGTTTAAAAGGTGCTTTCAATCGAGTATTCAATTCTATTTTTGGACATGTTAAACTCCAAACATTTTATCATGTAGAAGAAATATTTCATCATCCGAAATACGAACCTGGTAGGTGTTTTGTCTTGTCTTGGTAAATTTGATTTTTGGTGGATTTAAAGTATACGGACAAACTTGAGCTACTTTATAGCCAATGAGTTTACGTTGTTTAGTTATGAAACGATTTTTGACGAAAAAAGTAATGAAATTATGACTGAGAGACAGCTTTTTTTATGAATAGCTAACCTATCTAAATGAATTATTAAGGTCTTCATCGAAAATGAACATCATCTACGATGCAAGAATTAATTTCGCGCTGAAATTTGACTGATCAATCCACATACTTTACTTCTGTCCATTTCTTTTATTTATCTATCAATAATATAACATTTCGAGTGTGGGGTATTTATAATCAGTAGCCATGGATGAGGGCTATGCAACGTTACAAATGGGCTGAAATTTGAATTGTAGACCATTTTATAAATGTCAAATACTTTCTATGAGGTTTGAGATTCTTAAATTCGATCTTCGCTGAGAGGCGGAGGGTTTTGGGGATGGGTTAAAATATTCGAGTCCTATTCCCAAGTGTTACATATATCTGTTGCTTTCTGGTTCTCCATCGTTGTTTAACTGAACGGTTCGTGATGTAAATGACACAACTCAGTTATTTCCAAAAAACCATTAAACTATTTTCTCAAACTGATTAACAATAATAACAATAATAATAATAATAACTAATGTTGTGTGAATTATGTTTGACGATAACCACCTTTTATTCAATGTTTCACATTTGTGAGCATTTTGTCGTCCATCTTATGAGTGAGTGTTTTATATAAGAGCTTGATGCTAACTGGGGACTTCACTGCAGTTATTTAAAGTCAAAACGCTACTGTAACGCATCCCTACATGACAGTTGCAAAATGCAAATAACTTGAAGGTTAGAACTTAAAATGAAACTCCCCCAGATGAAAATTATTCCGTGATGTGTAAAACTCAGTGAATGAACTGAAATATTTCTGAAAATGCTTGGTACCGCATATATGTTGTATATCGGGAACGAATTCACGGACATCTGTTCTATACTGTAGATTGCTCATTTATGTAATCACATTTTCTAAAATTCTTTATTCTTATTGAATCAAATTAGCCAATAACTTTTATGCTGTAACAATACATCATAAATGATAAACAATAAGTGATTAATATAGAAAGCAAACCTGGTTTATTTTGACTGAAATTACGTAAACGTTTGTAATATGCTATATTGAACACTTTACATCTTTCTTTTGTGTTTGCATGTACACATTTGACAAAGTGAACACATTGTTTACATGTTTAGCACATTTGTATACTATCCTGGTTGAATAATGGATATAACAAGAACTTGTCATGAAAATTTTATTCGAACAGTTGTTGACTGAGTTTTTTTTGGATGAATAGAGAGGATAGTTGAAATTCCAAATTAATTTCATTCTTGGTTCAAATTTTTTTCATCCTCTCCCAAATTCATTATTATTTGTATGTAGTATAGTCTAAGTCACCTTTTTTCAACCTTAATTATCCATTCTTATCCTACCTAATACAACAGTCTTAATGATAATTATTCTTAATGTCCTCTATTATTATTATTATTATTATTATTACAACTGCGACATAACGCTTCCCATATTGTTTCAATTGGTTTCTACATATCATTCTGTTCTATCGATTAGAACTCATCACCTTAATTAAGACCAATTTAGTTTTTCTTAACGTTTATGTATGACCTTTTTTTGAATATAATCAATAAGGTTACTTTGTTTTGTGAGTAATCTGAAGTGTTTAAGACTTAATCAATGTGAAGCCGATTATCACTTTATAACGAAAATTAATTTAGGTTTAATATTTTATTTATTTAAAAACAAAAATTCTAATTTAAATGTTTCACTGTAAAGTCTGACAAAAAAAATTTGTCAAAAACTATCGTTGGTTCTAATACTCTTTGTGTACCAAACTGTGTTAGAAAATTGCAATTGATTTTTAGTATTTCTCAACAACTTATCAGTTGATAATATTGTGAATCGATTGTATTTCCATCATGGATTGACATCAAATAAATAAATATTAGGAGTCAAAGAGCACTGAGAAGTTTCATCACAGTGAATGAACAACCAACATTACAAACCTACTACTAAACACTTACATCTAATGAGAAGGCGTGACTGCTCAAGTCTACAGCATTATGAATAAGATAGAGGTTCGCGTGAGTACCATGATCGACCATTGAAATGAAGTTTTCAAGTTTTACTGTGTGTATGTAGAGCCATATGTGAACTCTTCTTCTTCCGACTGTGTGTCAGTCAATAGTGTGTAGTAACTTAAGGTAACCTATTATTTTTCTTAGGTTTAACAAACTACTTTGTTTAAATTTATGTGGTCTAACATTGATCGATTCATTATCTCAATGAAACTCAACAATTTACACAATTTTATCCTAACAATGAAGTGATAATACAGTGGTAAGTAGCTATTTTCTTTAGAAATTACAATGTGATTTAATACTTTTGATATCGTTGTGCTTTTTCTGTTTGGATAGGAAATTTGGAGTATGATATTGCCTTATTTAAATTAAAAGAAACTCCGGTTTTATGGAAAATCAATCATTTAGATTTAATAGAACTACCGGATGAAAACAGCGATGAGGAATGGCCTAAACCTAATCAGGTAACTGAAACGTAACACATGAATGTGATGCCTGTTGAGGAACAGTTCATTTATAATTCCGACTATGTATTAAATAACTGAGTGGTATTCCTTTCCTCTTTTTTTCCAACAGTCACTATTGAAGTAATCTTTTAGTAGAATAGAAAGAAGGTCCAACATTGAACCTCCTAAAATGTCGTTAATGTGAACTGTTATGTAGAATAGTAATCCAATGCATTTTTGTTATGTAATATACTATATAACTTAATTTCCTGATGAAAACTTCTCCAAAGAAATTCTTTATCAGAAGTATGGTAAAAGGTTCATGAGATGTTCACTGAATCTACAACCTAATATTCAAAAACAAGATGTATTGTAACCTGTTTACTTAAAATTAGTTAACAGATTATGGAAGCTTTATCTGTCTAATTATTAGTGCTGATTACATTTTATATTATGAATACAAAGTTTCGATGTTATGTTTGTAGAAGATAACTCGTTGTAATACTTGAACCTTTGATTCCTACTACATAATTCTCATGAAGTTGTGGAGTCTACAGAAACCCAGCCACGATATGAATAACTTAACGATAATATTTCTGATTAATGTATCGAGTAATAGGATTTAAAGTTATACATGAACCACTGGTTTCCTGGAAACTGAAGGTACATTTTGAGGTTGAATATCAACTAGTTCAAAACCTGAATATGAGGCTGTTTATCGATTACTTAAAACCAACCTTGGATTAAATTTTGAAACTGAACTGTTTGTCATGTATGCAGAAAACTGATTTCAAAATGATTGTTGTTGTTTGCAGGACTTCATTAATTTTATTTATTTCAAATTGTCAATTAAATCCGCTTGTATATTAAATATCGTGTTTCATGAACAGCATGGTGTTTTGAATCTTATAAATCGGAAGATCTTAGCATTATGCATGTTGACAAATGTATATTTCAAAATGGAAACTTCACAAAGTTCCACCGGATAGTAACTGTTAAAATAATCGGTGTGAAGATTATTGAATGTTAGTGACATCACAAACTAAACTATAAGAATTAAACAATCTCCACAAACTTAATAACAATCATGTGTTTACTAGTGACTGATTTCGAGAGGTAATTTGAAGAGCTCTTTTGAGAAGGCCCGAGTAGTAGAGTTTAGCCGTTTCAAATGTGAAGAAGTTACCTACCGAAAATTGTCTGGCAATACTATAGATTGAAGTCAAACATGTACAACAATGAACACAGGCCCTATTAATTTTACGTTAAGCGGTTGTGCACGAGACCTTAGCTCCTGGTTTCGACTCTTGGTGGTGGATTCATCGGAATATATTTCTAAAAAGTACCATACTAGCTGCTATCCAATGCGTCTAGCTTTTTACCTAACTAATGAGTTCTTGGTATTAGTGGATTTTTTAAAAAATAAAATATCTAGTTTCGTGATAGTTTATTAAAACTCTTTGAACTACTAAAAATTAAACAGTAGTTAATGATTTAAGCAGAGTTGAATGATAACTAACAGAGGAGTTCAGGATGAACTTGTGACTTAATGGTGATGCTAAAACAATCAGCCCAGAATAAACATATAAAGAAGAGAGACTGATCAGTTGCAGTCCTAAATTATCGATGAGAGGATTCAAATAATCCATAGAAATAATGTGGTTGACAATATCTTGCTAATTTATACGAACTGATTAAAAGAAATTGCATATATAAAGAAAGTTGCAAACAATTTTCGTAGATTATTTGAAATCAATGCTTATTTTATTCTAATATAAAGTCACATATTTAAATTTACAATTGACCTACAATACTAGTATATTATTCTTATTCACAATTAGTCTTTACACTGAATGACTGGCCTAGTAAGTGTTTGGAAAGTATGTGTTGTTGATTAAATCCGACCATATAACATAACATCCCGTTCTATTCAACTTTTACAGTTTACTAATTATAAAAATATCTGTTCCTCTTTCGCTCCTTATCTAGAAGTGTGTAGCTGTTGGTTGGGGATGCAGTTTCGTTGACGGACCACCAACGTTGAAAATTCAAGCTGTAGAACTTCCAGTTCTACAATCAAAAACATGCATGTCAATGTACTCAGCTTATATAAATTTGACAGAACAACATGAATTCTGTGCAGGCTATCATAATTTCGGTAAAGGTGTATGCCCAGTAAGTTGAATGGTTTGCAGAATTTATTCCAACTATTCAACAATAAAATGTTGAAGATTTGAATTACACTAATATTTGATGTAATAGTTTCCAGCCTGTTTCAATTTAAACTCTAGTTACTATCTACAGTGTAACACAAGCGAATTCTGAATCTCAAACTTTATAGTATTTTTCACTATATTTATAAATATCATGATTACTATCTAACATAGAACAGTTAAGTGTGGGTTTAGAATGGTTGGTTTCATGTAAACGATACAACAGAATATCAATCAAATACGATTTCATTGTAAAATCACATTACAGTTGAAAAAAATAAATCCATCAAAACTTGATTGATAGATAGTATACAATCGATATATTGGTCTAGATATTATTGGTTACTATTATTATTCAGAAGTCAGTTACAGCCAGATTAATTCAGTGATAATATTTCGAAATTTTTAAACTGATCAAAATGAGTTGTTTTCTGTTAGAATAATCTCTGATCTTATGATTGAATGAATTCGCCTTCATGAACTGATAGACAAATTCATCATCAACATGTTCAATGATTACATATTGAGCCAAATATCAGGCTTCTAGGAAGTCTCTAAAATTCTAACAATGTCTTTACATAAACTGTATGAAACATCGTATTGGATAAAATAGATTTCCTTTCCATCTACATACACACTCTCCCACTTTAGATTAGCAGTTAGTAAGCAGATAATATTAATTACTTAATTTAATGCCACGTGAAAATTGTTTACTGGAATTCGGACGTGGGAAATGTTGAAAAATTCCAAGCCAAGGTCACTTTATTAATTTCATAAAATTTATTTAAGCCTAGTACTCAGGTCTATATAGAATCAACATGTAAAGATGGAACTTACGAGGTCCTCATATAATTAACTGTTCAGCAAAAGGTTGTTTTTTGCTATTTTAGAGTCTATTGAGTATTGAAAACAAACCATAAAACTCCTGACTTATCGATAAACTTGTTCAATTTTTTGAGAATTTTTAATGTACCAATTGACTTTCACGATGAAGTCAATGGAAAATTAATCGTTTCAGATCTCTGGGAAACTGTATTGAACACTCAAAATTATTGCGATCTCCCCGTTGTAATTGTATCCATCAAAACTAATATAAAAGGAATTATTACACATCGCAGTTTATCAATGAAATCCGAATCAGTTGTCTAGACGAGTAGGGCAGAACACTGTATGTATTGAGTACAATATGTTATTTGTTATGATAGCTCAATGAAATTGATAAACTCATAACTAGAATGACTAAGGTGACCAAACTGTTCATCACTACAATCTCTAAATCATAACCGAATAAACTTAAAAGCTCCATGACTAAAGTATAAACATTTATATTGGAGAATCAAGTTTATGGTGAACATATGAAGTATTTAGCCAAGTAATTATCACTGAGCGTATTTGTCCACTAACCAATGATAGTCAAGTGTAAGAGTCATGGTCATAGGACGGACTTGTGATGATTCAGTTTTGAAAGTTGTAACAATATTGATTAATCTTATTAAAAACATCTTTTTCAGGGTGACAGTGGTGGACCATTGGTCTGTGAAGATTCAAATGGTGACTACAAATTAGCTGGTATTGTGTCAGCAACACACTCCAAATTGCCTGCTGATTATCCGGCAATATTCACACGTGTTTCTTACTTCACTAAATGGATAAATGATGTAATCAAGGAGAACGGATATAAGAAAAAACCGAATGGTCTCTTTTCATTTTTACAATTGCATAACTGAAAATTGTCATTATTATTATTATTATTATTGTTATGATTATTATCACTGCTGTTATTCCATGTTAATTTCTATTTGAATGAAGAAATCAGATGTTGACTTTTTTATTGATTTTTCAAAGATCCATTGGTATAGTTGAAATTGTTAGAATATCATAATTATTTTGATTTTAGAATTTCTTGATTGCATAATTCTGTGAATGGATTTATAACAGACAAACAATAATAAAAGAACTTAGTGATTGATTTTTTTGTTCTATTCCGGAATTCTTTAAAAGTCATTTGGATAAACAGTGACTTTCAAGTTGAGATTCGACAAGTTGTCCTAATCCATATTTGGCTACGATGGGTAACATGGTGGCAATTGGTTTCAGCGGTTGAATTTTTAGCTTAATGTCATTTAATTTACTGATGTCATTTGTCCCTGTTAAACTTTATCGCTTTCTGTTAAGGTAGATATTCCTGTAATTTGTTTCTCATTTCTCTCTCTGTAACCGTGTAGTAGTGATAAATGAAATATGGTGGCTTGAACAGATATATAGCGAATCAGCGTTCAAAATATTATTAACATAGGGAATCTGTGCAAACTATTCGACCTAAATTTGATTTTTATTGCAGACTGAAATCAGCTGGAGGCTCATAATAAAGTAGGTGTTGAACAGGATATATATAAACACAATCTAACTAAGAATCACCTTTTGTTCAGAAAAGTCAGCTAATGTGCGAATTATAGTTTGTAGATGTAATTTCAGTTTCCTGAAAAAAACTGAGTAAGAAACTACTACATGCTAAATGCAGTAAATGGAGCGAAATTGTAGGAGATAATTTTCTATCGGAACACAAGATGTATTCTTAAAATTTCAAACAAAATCTTGTTTGTCTGATCCTTAGTGTTGATCAAATTTTTTAAATAAAATCGTAATGTAGCCACTAGTATCAAAACTTGAAATTGCGAGTACTATGTTTGGTAGTTAGTTGAATGAAACTAACAGTAATGATTGAAACTTCGTTCCGTTCTTAAGCATATGATGCGTCAACAGAGGCCCAATCACAGCTAGAATAGGTTTATGGAAGCATCCTTAATTAATATATTGAATGATATGAATTTTAACTTGACGTGAATAATCCATCTCTTTGAGATAACAAATATGTTTGATGATGAATGTCAACCGGTCCAAAACTCAGTATCAATTACTTCTGTTGTGTCTCTAGGTTCAAATGACAAATACTTGAAGTTGGGAACCTACGATGTGAGATAAGAATACAGAAATACTAGATGGAAAAATTATTGTACACTGAATACACTAATTGATTTTTCAGGTTTGTATGCATCAACATGAGCAGTAGTGCTTGAAATCAATCAACAGAATTATAAGACAGCATAACATTTAGTTAAATGGTTTCTGGCCTAAGTTCCAATTGACATTCAAATCATTGTTTACAAAGCAACACAAAAAACTTTTATCTTTGAACTTCACTAACATTAGTTATGAATTATGGTTTTTCTTACATACCTCATTTAAATGTTTTATTTTTACATGTCTGAAAAACTGAAATATATAGAGTGCGATACACAGGGGTTACTTACTGATTTTTGAAAACTGAATGGTTTGACAATAAAGTCATCTCCAGACAGATATTGATTGCGGATAAATCAGTATCATTAGAGACTGATATCAGATGAGAATTATGCATTGAACAATAATAATATACTGCTCTTTTCCAATAGTACACACATTTTAGTTCATTGACAGTTTCATCTGAGCTACAATGGAACTTGCGGTGTTGTTTGACTTACTTAATTATTTATCAACCAATACAATCATAGTTATATTCTTTAACGAACTGCATACATTTTTAAAAAATATACTTCATGGAATTATAAACAGGTGACGAGGTGGTGATGTTAGTGTTTAAAAACCTGATAGTAATAAATTTCCATTTACACATATATGAGTAATTGAAATTTAGAAGAGTCGCAAAAACATGTCACTTTGGAGTATATTTGTTTCGAATAACACGTTAATTCAAATGAACCAATACTTATAGTGGTTATCAATTTCTCGGAAACTTAAGATCCCCAAAATTCATATGGGAAAGGTCCTAATTTTGTAATTTTTATTCTGAAATTTTGAACTTATGTTTTCATTCCAAAGACGCTTATTTCGACCTTCAGCATATATTTCCCATTAGGGAAATCCGTGACTGTCATTGGTTGATGGATTATTTTAGTACGCTGTTTCGTGGCTCTATAGAAAGAAATGGAGCTGTGTGCTTTCTGACCCCGTAATTTCTCGGTGCCTGTGGAATACATTTCTTCAAGTCTTATCAAGACTTCTGCCTCTAGTTAGTGAGGCCTTGGACGATCGGATTAGAGTAGTTTCTCGTGTCAGTGAATCATTGATCTTCGTTCCATTTACCGAGTCAGGTGAACTCGTACTAACTCAAGCATATCACAATGAAATATTCGAATGATTAACAAACCAACCATCCAATAGTCTCATAATAGTATTTTCTATACAAAAAATCAAATTTGAATCGCTAATGAATTCACAGTATATGAGAAAGGAGGTAGCGCCGATAAATAAACTGAGAAGGAAAGTTGACTTTAGATCAGATTATTATTGCTAAAATAAATCAATCAAAACTTAATTTGTAGATAGTACGCAATCGGTATATTGGTCTAAACATCGATTATTACTACTGTTTGATGATAAGTTACTGTTAAAAGTTAGTTGTGGTCAGAATAGTCTAGTAATCGAATTTTTAACTTTCTGCATGGATTCATCTCTGACCATATTACTGAGTGAACTGATTCTGATGAAACTAATAAACGGATTTTATGTCAGTTAGTCAATTAGAACGTAGAACTCCGTACATGAGTACATAAGTTCAGGTTGCCATACCACATCAGAAAGGAGACGCAACTGTCAGTTCAAATACAATAGTGATGGAGATAGTAGAAGTATTAGCAGTAATGGAGAAGATTAGGGTTCGAAAATATGATTCAAAAAGTATAATTCAGTGAGATAAATTTAGAAATCAAAAGATAGAGATTTTGAGGAATTAAGAAGGTTAGAATTTGACAGAACACAATGAATGAATGCACCTGAGCCATGTCGTTCAGGGTCTCTAACCATCGGTTACTTTCGTCTCACAGACCCCAACCAGGTAGCCTATATCTGTTAACATCACTCGGTCCACTTGTCAGTGACTTCATGGATTTGTGTCATGTTTTGGTTAGGCCGCCCCTAGCTTTCTTCAAACCTACTCCCACATCGCAAAACATAGCTCGACGAGGCAGTCGGTGGTTAGGCATACGCAACACATGTTCCAACCACCTCAACTGATGAAGTTTCACTAATTCATTTATTGATTTGCCACCCCTACCTAGAACCCGTTTCCTAACGACAGCATTGCTTACTAGGTTGTCCCAGGACATACGAGCGATGCTTCGGCGACACTTATGATCGAAGACAAGCAACCTACGAATGTCCTCTACTCTCACCGATCATGTTTCACATCCATATAGTAGGACGAATCGAACTGCTGCGCAGTACACTCGTCCTTTGTTTAGCAAACGGATACTTGGCTTACGCTATAAGTGACGCAAGTTGGCAAAGGCCGATCGAGCCTCCTGTTTCCGTGCTGAGATTTCGTCAGTCACCAAGCCATCAGCACTGATGAGACTCCCGAGGTAGGTGAAGCGGTCGACACGTTCGACTACTTCACTACCTATCACTAGTTCAAGTGCCAACGCAAGCCAATCTTGAAACAACATTTCTCATTTCTCAGGGGGGAAACCGCATTCCGAACATGCTTGCATTGTTGCTTAGAGTAGTCAGAAAACTGAATTTTGTCAGCGTCTTCACCAAATAGGACTATGTCATCAGCATACTCTAAGTCAGCAAGCATTTCTCCTGGTAAAAGGTCCACTCCTGAAAAGTCAGACGGGCATAATGTTAACTCTAAAAGCATGTCTACGATAAAGTTGAACAAGAATGGAGAGAGTGGACAGCCCTGACGGACACCACTTGAAGTGAAGAATTCCAATGACAGTTCGCCACTAGCTCTCACTTGACCAGTCGTTCTGGAGTAGAGAGCTTGTACAAGGCTAATGCATTTGTTTGGTACACCTTTGAATGACAGACGCTCACGATCGACAGAGTCGAATGTCACTTTAAGGTCGAGAAATGCTACAATTGTGGGGCGTCTAAACGTGCCTTTGTTCTACGGACATGATGTAGTGTGAATATCTGGTCTATACATCCACGTCCAGGTCGAAAACCAGCCTGGTTTTCTCGAGTCTGCTCTCCACGAGCTCTAGTTAGACGTCCGAGTATTAATGAGGCCAATATTTTCGATACTATCTTAGTTAGACTGATTCTTCAGTGATTGTCGCGAGAAGACTTATCCTTTTCTATAGACTGGGACAGTCAGTGACTGCGACTAGTCAGATACAATTATACCCAGTTCCCAGATTCTACCTAAGATCTCAGTTACTCTAACTGTTAAAACTGGACCACCATCTTTATAAATCCCAGGAGTAAGCCTATCAGGATCCGCTGCTCTCCCTCGCTTTAGATTTCCTATAGCTTTCTCATTCAGGATGACTGGAGATCGTGAGCAACTGAAGTATGGCTGAAAGCCAGTTGAACTGATCTCTGAAGTGTTCTGCCCATCGATCCAATCTCCTGGATTGAGAATGAATGATACGACATCATTTTCTGAGATAGTTTTGTTAACAGATGGATTTCTGTTACTGGTTTCCAGGATGAGTTGGATCAACTGTCGGTTGTTACCGATTTTATATCGACCCATTTGTCGATTAAATATTGAGCTGAATGTCAGACTTTTAGAAAATTTCAAGAATTCTTAAAGCTTCATTGTATCAACCATGAGAAGCTTTACATTGAATAAATCAACCTTTTTTGCTAACATTCTTTTGAGAGTATGAAAGTTTACCCAGTCAAAGTTACTGGTAATTATTAATACTGACTATTATTACATTTTAGCGGCTCGCTACCGGACTTCAGTGTGGACGAATGACCGAGTGTGCAATGAAATAATTCTTCCTTTTCACTTCCGTATATTATACTCAAGCTAATCCCGTTTGTGCGACGGCGGTAGTAAGAAGCCAAATTCGGTGTTGCGGATGAATTTATTTCATGCAATCATTTATGCAGACAGACATGAGAATGTAGAGCGTACAAGCAAAACGAAGCGAATTGGAGAAGGTGAGTGAACCAACTCTCCGTGTGCTGAAGAATGACTAAGTATTTATAGTCAAGCAATAATAGGCTAGACATGTGATAAGCTAGTAAGCATCCACACACAATCAAATATACAATAATCGATACTGTAATCGAATTATTACAAATGCAAAATTATTGTCGATACAATTACCGAATAATTTAAACGAAGGTACAGTCGATGAATGATGAGATGCTACAACATCATATATATTTTAAGAAAGCAACTAATTTCCATCGTAATATCCAGGAAACACAACAGGAATCCTAACTTTTAATTATGTATCAGATCGGTTAAATAAATAAAAATGTAACAATCTGTGTTTCAATACTGAATTACTAGACTACAGTTTCAATAATGTCGGTTGAAATGGAACAGAAATCTCAATGTGTTCATAGGTTTATTCAGTTAGCACTGATCCACACTTTTAATGTGAAAGCTAGTAATAGTCTACTCCATCACTGTAATGAAGTATATAGTTCAGGTTTCAAACGCACAGCCTACTGATTGAAAGATGAGTAGTCTAACAAGTAAATCATCACTGCAATTCTTTGTCTTCTCTAAAAAATTCTAGTCTTCTGAATCTCTAATAACCCCTATCTTTTTAAGTTTATTTCACTGGATTATACTTTTTGAATAATATCTTCGAACCCTAATCTTCTCCATAACCGCTGATACTTCTACTACATCTACCACTATGGGATTTGGATTGACGATTGTATCTCTGTGATAATTTGTATGGCAACTAGAACTGATGTACGCATGCACGAAGTTTTACGTTGTTGTTGAATGACAGCCATCTTGGTAGATCTGGCTGGAGTTCGCAAGATTACCACAATTAATGATCGGAGAAATTGGTTGACACGGCTTAGAGTGATTCATAGTAGCGTATATACACCCACTTTTCACCTTCCTCTATATTTTGATCCCCAGTATCCTTTTATACATACCTTGTCACCATGTTTTCTTGAATTAGATTTTTAATGTTTAGACTTCCTTAATATTATTGATACTACGGTTATTTCAACTATTTCCCTATCCACCTTGGTAACTTTAACTTTTCATGCTAATTCAGTATGTCAACTTGAGCTGATGCACATTTTTGTAAGGTTCTATTTCAGTTTTAATTAATAAAAATGTATATTTGTAAAAATGATATCATCGCATGTTACTAGTGGGTAGTAGGTTGGAGAGAGACTGAAGGTGATTGAACCATGAAGAAATTGACTCCTAACCTGAGCCCTATTAGGGAACTAACAAGATAAATAATAAAGGAGTCGATATAATTGTCGTGTCAGTGATAGTAAGACCACGCTAAGATTTTGTGTTTCGGAGGCAGCATACATTGATAACATAAGATTATAGACTGTGATACCTGATGTCTGCTTTAACGTGGAATTAGAATACTGAAAGTTATAACATGTAGTTCAGGTGATTTCAAGAGATCTAGAAGAGAGCATTTTGTGAACTCGTATCACTGGTACTGATTGTACGTAGAGGAAGAATTTAAAGACAGAAGATAAGGGTCGATAGTGAAAACAAAAGAAATACTAGGCAACAAAGATGGGTTCCGATTGTGAACAAGGTGATTTTGAGTGATATTAGGGTATGATAGAGGCTGTCACTTTGCGGTAGCCCACATGGTGCAAGGGTTATGTTCTTCTTGAGGTACCTGAAAAGTAAACTGGGCTAGAGGTGGTCTTGACTTGAATGACTGCAGTGTCTAAATGAAAACTTTAAGTCGTCTATGCACAGACTTTAATTAAATAGTTCTTGATGGGTTATCTCCGTAATTTCGAGGCTTTACTTAGACGATTAAAATCATTGGGGTGAAGTAAAGTGAGTTATGTTTAAGCCCAATCTTTTCTAACTTGCCTGACTTGATGTGAGGAGGCAAGATATAGCTGCTGATGCTGGCTGTCTGAGAGAAGCGCGTGTTTACCGTCATACAGCACAGTGCAACCAACAATACGATTTTGTCCTAGGTTATGTGTTTGATGCATCTAGTTTAACTGCACTACAAGCAATCTACCTAGCATGTTGGAACCTATAGGAACAAATGTCGCTGACAAAATAATCCAATTAGGTTACCATAATATGCAGGCATGACAACTACGTCAAACTAGCAGCTACGATCGGTGTGAATGCAATGCAATATGACAAGTTGTGACAGATACAAACCAGTTGTGAAAAAAGAGTAAAAAACTTAGCGAAAGTCAATCTATTTCTGGAGAGAGAAAAATCATTAGATAAAAACACAACACACAATTTACTATAACTATTCAACATCTGCTGGATTTAGCATTCTTCTCTCTTCATTCGAATATAATCCACAATGTTTAAATACATTCTTATATACACTGAATATTCGTTTAATATTTGATACAAGATATGATGTAATTAATTGAGCACATTTTGATTCATCCTGTTTTAAATCCCATAAAAATTGTTCACATGGTGCAGATTTTAAATAATAACCAATTTGTTTTACTTGTACAGCTGAATATAAATTAGCCATAATCATATCAGTTTTAGCATAATATGATTGACCTTTCAATGGAAATACACTATTATCATTGAAAATAAATAAACTAGACAATCGAATCAATAAATTATTCACTCCATACAACCAAATTAATGTAAACAATGTAAAGAATAAATTCAGCATTAAATACACCATATACAATCGATACTGTGACAGTGATAATGTTCGTCGTCGAATCACTGTTGCACGTAAATCAATGAAAAACGCAATAATTGTAATCAATAATAAACAATTCAATGTTAATTCAAATAATTGTCTATCAAATTCATGATAAAATGGAAATTTCAATACATTTTCATAGGAATACAATTGAATCATATCAAATTTTTGATTAGTATTTATAGATTGTTGCATTAATTCCCATAATAAATCAAATAAATTATTTGTTGCAATCATATCCTCTTGTATGATAAGTATATAATCATTTTGATTAAATTGTTGCTGTTGTTGTTGTTTAATTAAATCAACTGATTTTAGCATACATGTTGACATATCTTTTATAAATTGACAATTAACAGATAAATTCATATAAGTGAACAATTGATCTATTATATGCAATGGATAAATTGAATGTTGACCAATAAGTTGTATAATTTCATTGACGCTAGAAAGTTCATTTATTTCAGTTCCATTTAAACAAATCATTATATTAATATATTTAAATCGATAACCATATTTTGAAATATCATTAAATATTAATTTAATGATAGTTGATAAAGATTGAATTAAATAATCTGGTTGATAATCATCAATTTGATATTGAACACGATTCGATGCCATGATACTAATGACTAAACCATGTTTATTATTTAAATTTGACAATGAAGATTGAGGTGTATGATAAACAAACGGTATTTTTCCACGATGATACCAATCATACATTAATGTACGTAAATGAGCTAAACGTAATTCTTCACGATCTCTTACAATAGATGCATGATAATTTTCGTTGGGAAATCGATAATTATTAATTATGATTAGGAAAAAATAAATGAAAATTGATAAAATGTTTATTTTCAAAAATATGTGTAAAAATGTATATGTTCGAAATAAACGTCTGATTTTAATGAATTGATTCATTAGTTAAAGTTAATATTTGTTTGTTCCCCCCTATTGCTTTATATTTGTTGAATTGTAACGGGAGAGAGTTATACAGGCATTCTGAATTAAACATGAAAAATATGAAGAAGAGAAGGAAATAAATTGTTATCTATAAACAGGACTAGAAAAACTAAAACACAAAGTTTTTAGTACGAGGGATTTTGTGGAGATTATTGAATTTCATGCTCGTAGTTAAATAACCACTGAAAATTAAAAAGCACTGGACTACTGTTTTGTCTTATTGTGAGATTTCTCAGCTATGGGCATCTACAACCTCAACATGAATCAAATTCAGGGTCTTTAGGTTTCTATGTTCAGTGTTTTCAAGCTTTCACTGATTGAGTAACTAAGCTCTGTCCGTGATGTAAACTATAAAACTCAACAATCTCCATAAACCATTCATACTAGTTACGTAATTACTGGTGGGTAATTTCGAGAGATAATTCTCGGAGCTCAAGTGAGTTGTGATCAGAATAGTTCAGTCATGAAGTGTGAGGCAGTTACCCACCAATGGCATCGAAAGACGGTTCAGTAGCACCAGGTATTGATTGAAATTATAAGTGTCAACTACTGCGCGCCGACTCGGTAGTCTAAAGGCTAACTTTTGATCCTAAGAGCTGAAGGTATTAGGCCTGTATTAAGTCTGCTACTTTGTACGGTTAGTACGGAATACAGCTTTCAATAAAATGAGTAGAGCCGCCCCCAAGGTGGTAAATCAATGGGCGGAAGAAAACAAAAGAAATGTTTACTTTAGTAAGTGACGAATCGCACAGGGAAATCGTGTGTATTTAGTTTTTCATATAGACCGAAAACATCAGTATAATCATCCAATCCGTAAACAGCAACGTTACACACTTGTCCAATACCACGTCGATTAGATGGAATCTCTTCGGTTTCTGAGAGTTATCCCAACAGTTTGATTCCTAGTAGTGTCGTGTGCCCGCGCTGCTGAGTTACGTACTAGAAAACAGTTGTTTAGTCCTTTTCGGTGGTGTAAGATCAGTTCGGGATGTAAACTATAAAGCTAGGCTTGATATTCATCAGCGTAGAACTCGGCAACAAGGATGGTGTATTAGTTCGAATTGCTGAATATATAAGCATGAGAGAAAGTTAATAAAACGAACTATACAGAAGTGCAGTCGAAATTTAAAAATGAGCAATAAATACTCAACCGAAAAGGGAATAAGGGAGGTTGTACAATGAATAGTTAGGAATGATTATAACTTAATTTTAGAGAAAGCTGGAAAATGATTACAACTGCACCGACTGTAACTGATCATGAACCATCTCTACCGCAGCATTTGACTACCCACCGCCCAAAACTTTAGTGGCCCGGAATCCGAATCCAATTCAGACGAACGACTGAATATTCTATACAATTAATCATCCTATTTCCGCATATCATATTTAGGCGAACCCCGTTTTTGCAACGGAGATAATTAAAAGCCTATACAGTTTATTTTGGATTGGATTTACTTCATACATTTACGTAAGTAGACAGATAATAAAGGGAATTGCAAAAGTGAAGCGAAGAAAGCGACTGGGCCAACTTTGGACACTTCACAAAAGACTAGAATTGGCAATCCCAGTTTTTACAATACAATCCAGTATAGGTTTTTAATGAATTCATGTATCTCTCCAGCTGATGTGTCTATTTAATATGTAGGAGTCTATAAGAAGTGAAGAGATATATTATCATTAGGTGGATGCTTAGAAAGGGTGGTGTTTATAACATAAGGGATAAGATTTGTAGTGTCTAGTACTAATGACACGCCTATATAGGTTATTTTAATTTTCGGATTTCATAATTAATTCATTTTTCTAAGTCATTATCAACACATGTAACGTTACGCACTTAAAAACTTTGGATAAACTATTGTTTTGTTTAAAGTAGGAGACATCCTTGATTCTTATTATGTCCAATGAATCCCAGATAAGTCAAAAACGTCTATTTGTTCTCAGATTTCAGTTGAGGACATACACACTTGTCAGACAACGCAGACATGAGATTGGTGTAACTTTAAATCCTAAGCCTGATTCACTACCGAAACCTCTCGGACTTCTTACAAAAGGTTAGGCGCTCTGATATAGTTATAATGGCTAGTGACTTCAACGCTCAAGTAGGTAGACAAAGTGAAAAGGGAAGACACCTGGATGGATCCTGTGGTGTCGCGGGTGATCGAACAGATAATGGCGACCGTCTGCTACAGCTATGCTCAGATAACCACCTATTTCTAGCAAATACTAACTTTAGGCATAAGGAAAAACATCTCTTGACCTGACGACCCCCAAAGTCGTGCCAACGCTTGTTAGGATATTCATCCAATATCCTAAGATAATTGTTTGTCAGTTTAATTCTATTGGTAAATTCCTATTGGTCGTCTTAATTGTCAATGTCAAAGACTTCAATGTTGTTTCCTATTCGACCTAACTGTATAAATACGTATTATCTGTAACATTTTATGTCCCAGACCAGGACCTGGAGCCCTGCTTTGGGATCCTGATTCTCTTCTGGACTCGGACCTCGTACTTTCTGGATGCTTGTAGGATACATGCGTTACTTCATATCAAGTCTTCTTCTTTTACTCAATAAGGGTTCGGGACAATCGGATTAGAGTAACCTGTCGTGTCGGCGGATCACCGCTCTAGTTTTTCGCCTAGGACAAACTCCTACTAGATCAAACATATCAAATGATGTGTTTACGTGCCTGAGTAACAACGCTGGACCCAACTAGATCACATCGCTACACGCCACTGGTGGAGGGGTTCGATAGAGGACTGTCGCTCGTTCTGGGACACATGTTTAGGTTCGGATCATGCTCTAGTGCGAGCGCGTACCTGTTTGCGACTTACTAGGCGTAGGAAAGGCACCGTAAGAAAACCTCTTAGGGCTCTACTTAATGATAGCATAGCTAAAAATATATATCAGGAACAACTAGGAAACCAGTTAGGGAGCCATGTAAGTGGTTCTCATCAAGAGGCAGGTTGTAATGATATGAAAAAGGCTGTGGAAACAGCAGTGATGTATAATAGTAAGGTAAATAATAAGGCTAGGAAGAAGCTGTGGATCTCAGTAGCAACCACCGAACTGATAGACGCTCAAAAACTCATCACACCTGGCTCTAAAAATGACGAAGAGCAAAGTCAGCTTCAGAGCAGGCTGATGAAAAGCTATCGCAATGATCGCGAGCAGTGGTGGGTAGCGAAAGCGATGGGAAAGGCGGCGATAATAGGTGACAGAAGACAAGTATTCCGCCTAATCAAGGAAACCGGTAACAGAAATCCATCTGTTAACAAAACTATCTCAGAAAATGATGTCGTATCATTCATTCTCAATCCAGGAGATTGGATCGATGGGCAGAACACTTCAGAGATCAGTTCAACTGGCTTTCAGCCATACTTCAGTTGCTCACGATCTCCAGTCATCCTGAATGAGAAAGCTATAGGAAATCTAAAGCGAGGGAGAGCAGCGGATCCTGATAGGCTTACTCCTGGGATTTATAAAGATGGTGGTCCAGTTTTAACAGTTAGAGTAACTGAGATCTTAGGTAGAATCTGGGAACTGGGTATAATTGTATCTGACTAGTCGCAGTCACTGACTGTCCCAGTCTATAGAAAAGGATAAGTCTTCTCGCGACAATCACTGAAGAATCAGTCTAACTAAGATAGTATCGAAAATATTGGCCTCATTAATACTCGGACGTCTAACTAGAGCTCGTGGAGAGCAGACTCGAGAAAACCAGGCTGGTTTTCGACCTGGACGTGGATGTATAGACCAGATATTCACACTACATCATGTCCGTAGAACAAAGGCACGTTTAGACGCCCCACAATTGTAGCATTTCTCGACCTTAAAGTGACATTCGACTCTGTCGATCGTGAGCGTCTGTCATTCAAAGGTGTACCAAACAAATGCATTAGCCTTGTACAAGCTCTCTACTCCAGAACGACTGGTCAAGTGAGAGCTAGTGGCGAACTGTCATTGGAATTCTTCACTTCAAGTGGTGTCCGTCAGGGCTGTCCACTCTCTCCATTCTTGTTCAACTTTATCGTAGACATGCTTTTAGAGTTAACATTATGCCCGTCTGACTTTTCAGGAGTGGACCTTTTACCAGGAGAAATGCTTGCTGACTTAGAGTATGCTGATGACATAGTCCTATTTGGTGAAGACGCTGACAAAATTCAGTTTTCTGACTACTCTAAGCAACAATGCAAGCATGTTCGGAATGCGGTTTCCCCCCTGAGAAATGAGAAATGTTGTTTCAAGATTGGCTTGCGTTGGCACTTGAACTAGTGATAGGTAGTGAAGTAGTCGAACGTGTCGACCGCTTCACCTACCTCGGGAGTCTCATCAGTGCTGATGGCTTGGTGACTGACGAAATCTCAGCACGGAAACAGGAGGCTCGATCGGCCTTTGCCAACTTGCGTCACTTATAGCGTAAGCCAAGTATCCGTTTGCTAAACAAAGGACGAGTGTACTGCGCAGCAGTTCGATTCGTCCTACTATATGGATGTGAAACATGATCGGTGAGAGTAGAGGACATTCGTAGGTTGCTTGTCTTCGATCATAAGTGTCGCCGAAGCATCGCTCGTATGTCCTGGGACAACCTAGTAAGCAATGCTGTCGTTAGGAAACGGGTTCTAGGTAGGGGTGGCAAATCAATAAATGAATTAGTGAAACTTCATCAGTTGAGGTGGTTGGAACATGTGTTGCGTATGCCTAACCACCGACTGCCTCGTCGAGCTATGTTTTGCGATGTGGGAGTAGGTTTGAAGAAAGCTAGGGGCGGCCTAACCAAAACATGACACAAATCCATGAAGTCACTGACAAGTGGACCGAGTGATGTTAACAGATATAGGCTACCTGGTTGGGGTCTGTGAGACGAAAGTAACCGATGGTTAGAGACCCTGAACGACATGGCTCAGGTGCATTCATTCATTGTGTTCTGTCAAATTCTAACCTTCTTAATTCCTCAAAA